ACTTAGAGGGCACCACAAATACCTTCAGTTCTTCCTTTCTCATCTTTGAGCAAGTTTGACCAAGGCTGATCTCCGAGACACTGTTCTGAATTCCTCTACCATAAGTAGGAGGCTGCTTTCAGTCACTTAAATAAATATTGCCAACGTTTGAGCATTTCAATGCTAGAAAAACTTCTGCATTTTCTGCTGTTATTATTAATATTTCAACTCGCTTTGTTACAGCTCATTATAACATGGAAGTGGCCACTGAGACCATATAACACCAGTCCTGAAAGACCAACTTTGGCTCCCAGTACGTTTCTGAGCACAATTGAAAGTGTTGGTGCTGACCTTTAAAGCCCTAAACGGCCTCGGCCCAGTATTCCTGAAGGAGCGTCTCCACCCCCATCGTTCAGCCCGGACACTGAGGTCCAGCGCTGAGGGCCTTCTGGCGGTTCCCTCACTGCGAGAAGCGAGGTTACGGGGAACCAGGCAGAGGGCCTTCTCAGTAGTAGTGCCTGCCCTGTGGAACTCCCTCCCATCAGATGTCAAGGAAATAAACAACTATCTGACTTTTAGAAGGCAGCCCTGTTTAGGGAAGTTTTTAATATTTGATGTTTTATCGTGTTTTTAATATTCTGTTGGGAGCTGCCCAGAGTGGCTGGGGAAACACAACCAGATGGTTGGGGTATGTATAAACAAACAAACAAACAAACAAATTATTATTATTTCTGCTGCTAATGACCTTAACCAAACAGAAGGGTGTGCACCCCCGAAATAAACAAAAAAATGATGTTTGTGTTTGAAATCCAATGATAAATGGAGTATCATTGGATTTCAAACACAAACATCATTTTTTTTGTTGTTTATTTCAGGTTAAATGAACTATCTGAAATTATTATTTATATTCAGTACCATTTGATAAAGTGCAATGGCATTTCAGTATTTAACAGCCTTTGGTAACACTCCCTCCTGTAGAGGCTGAGGGCCAACAGAGGGGGAGGGAGATGGCAGATGGTGGAATGAGCTCCCATCCCAGCTGGAGAGGAGCCTGGGGGCCACCAGAGGGCATCCAGCGGCTCCCTGAAACAGGTGGCATGGGCATTTGATTGTTGCGCTATGGTGTGCAGCAAAGGAATGGCTTCCATTGGAGCATAAAACCAGGCGAGGTCAGGTGAGGTTCAGGTGGGATGCTGGCTCATCCCGTGAGAGGACTGGGATGGAAGGGCTCTCTGTCTGAAACCCTGGAGAGCTGCTATCAGTCACAGTAGACAATACTGAGCCAGATAGACCAATAGTCTAAACTTGGATAAGGCAGCTCCCCATGTTCTGCCCTAACATCTATTTTCAGCCAATCTCTCTCTTTTTTTTAAAAGATATTTATTAAAATTTTCAAGATATTACAAAATGAAAAAAGAAAAAAGAAAAATACAAAATAAAAGTAGTTAAAAACAACTCAATCTTTCCGTTACTTATCTTTCATTAGCTTGTTTCCCGGACCTCCTCACGCCTCCCTTTTTTTGTATTCCAGTTCAATTTGTTAGTTCAGCAAATCCTTCCCCTTTTTGTTTATCCTAGTCTTTAATCTTAAAATATTGTGACATTAAATTTTTACCTGTTAGTAATCCATTTTTCATATTCCCTTATAGTATTACAGCTAAAAACCACTTAATTTCTATCCAACATCATTCTAACATTCATTAATTTTACAATATTTCTGTAAATAATCTTTAAACTTTTTCCAATCTTCTTCCACCGACTCTTCTCCCTGGTCTCGGATTCTGCCAGTCATTTCCGCCAATTCCATATAGTCCATCACCTTCATCTGCCATTCTTCCAGGGTGGGTAGATCTTGTGTCTTCCAATACTTTGCAATAAGTATTCTTGCTGCTGTTGTGGCATACATAAAGAAAGTTCTATCCTTCTTTGACACCAATTGGCCGACTATGCCCAGGAGAAAGGCCTCTGGTTTCTTCAGGAAGGTATATTTAAATACCTTTTTCATTTCATTATATATCATCTCCCAGAAAGCCTTAATCCTTGGGCACGTCCACCAAAGGTGAAAGAATGTACCTTCAGTTTCAATTTTCAGCCAATCTCTCTCTGCTCCAAACTTTGAAATCCAGTTCTTGCTTCAAATGGCAAGAAAAGAGATCGTAAGTTAACATCAGGAAAAAGTTTCTGATGGTAACAGTTGCTCAACAACGGAATGGCCTCTCTCCTTCATTGGAAGTTTTTACACAGAGGTTGGATGGCCAACTGTGATGGAAGCTGTAGCTGTTGGTTCCTGCACTGCAGGGGGTTGGGCTAGATGACCTTTGGTGCCCCTTCCAACTCTACAATTCTATGATTCTGTTGACCACAATGCCTCACCTACAAGGCTTCACTTTTCCAAGAAGCCCTGGGCTTGAGTTTTAATAAAGGGGCCCTGGGCGGATAAGAGAATTGGACCCAAACATGGGTAAGGGATGAATGTTCACCCCCCCAAAATGGAGATAAAAGTAAAGGTAAAGGGACCCCCGGTCCAGTCGTGGCCAATTCTGGGGGTGCGGTGCTCATCTCGCTTTATTGGCCGAGGGAGCCGGCGTACAGCTTCCGGGTCATGTGGCCAGCATGACTAAGCTGCTTCTGGCAAACCAGAGCAGCGCACGGAAACGTCGTTTACCTTCCCGCCAGAGCGGCACCTATTTATCTGCTTGCACTTTGATGTGCTTTTGAACTGCTAGGTTGGCAGGAGCAGGGACCGAACAACGGGAGCTCACCCCGTCGTGGGGATTCGAACGGCTGACCTTCTGATCGGCAAGCCCTAGGCTCTGTGGTTTAACCCACGGTGCCACCCGCATCCCTAAAATGGAATAACTAACCCTTAATTACTTTTTCAATGCCCCCTCCCCAATTTTCCGTCCTCGTCCTTTAGTCTCTTCCATATGTGTGTTCAAGCAGCCTCAAACTGTTTACCGATGCTAAAGACTAGCTTCTCTCGGGGCCTATTCACTCAACAGGACTGCCAGGGAAAATGTTAAGAAATTAATTTGGCCTACAGCAACATGTCAAAGATATGGGGGCGGGGGTTGAAAAGAGGGGAAATGTGGGAGGGGGGGTTGGGGAGCCAACACAACAAAAGCCAGGATTCAGCTTTAACTAGAATGTCAGCTCCGTGGAATGCAGAATGTCAAGACCGGAGTAATGACAAGCAACTGCAAACTGGTTATTATCTACTCTTTCCATGGAAGGGGGGGGGTTGAAAATAACAGCTCATTAGGAAACCCCCATGAGGTTAAAACAGCAGACATAGTAAAGGGGAGGGAGCAAGGGGGAGGAGAAAGAAGGCATTGTTTCTGTAAAAACATCTTCGGCAGCTCATGGCATCTCATGGAAAACAGCTTGCTTCTCCTCCTAGACGGGGGTAATGTGAGGGAGGGGGGCCGAGACAGAAGCAATGGAGGTGGGGGTGGGGAAGGAACACCCCCCACCACGACTGTGCTCACCAGCTTCCATCAAACCCCCACCTATGGCAAACTACCGCCTAACCGCATCCAATACAGTGGTACCTCAGGTTACAGATGCTTCAGGTTACAGATGCTTCAGGTTACAGACTCTGCTAACCCTAGAAATAGTACCTCAGGTTAAGAACTTTGCTTCAGGATGAGAACAGAAATCGCGTGGCGGTGGTGCAGCAGCAGCAGCAGGCCCCATTAGCTAAAGTGGTACCTCAGGTTAAGAACAGTTTCAGGTTAAGAACGGACCTCCAGAACAAATTAAGTTCTTAACCTGAGGTACCACTGTATGTAGAAGGACTCTTCTATTCTGATTCTTCTGTAGGTGGTGAATTCTCCTTCCTTGGGGAGGCTGGAGGGTCATCTGTCAGGGATTCTTCAAGTTGTGATTCCTGAATTGCAGGGGGGGGGGGTCGGGTTGGACTAGATGAAGTTTGGGTCACGGTTCTCTGGAGAAATCACCTGTGATGGCTCTCAGAACTCAGACTCTCAGAACTCAGCAGAGGCTCTTGCCTCCACACTCTGCTCGGAGGGAAGTGTCAGGTCGGCTAATGAGGGAAAGCGTGTTGCAAACCTCCCCGAGATCTACAGATGAAGGGTGGTATGCAAATTAAATAAATAAATGACAATAATAAAATGGGATTGCACCCTACATGGATCTCTGTGGTCTGATCTTACGTCCTTATCCCTTTTTTGCAGGTCCAGATATGAGAAATGCCCATCTGACTGGAAGGCTAAGGCAATATAATCGTGTGAGGGAACCTGTAATGCAGCCTTCTCCAACCTGTTACCCCACAGATGCTTGCACTATAAAGGTAAAAAAAGTAAGGTAAAGGACCCCTGGACGGTTAAGTCCAGTCACAGTGACTATGGGGTTGTGGCACTCATCTCGCTTTCAGGCCAAGGGAGCCGGCGTTTGTCCACAGACAGCTTTCCGGGTTATGTGGCCAGCATGACTAAACCGCTTCTGGTGCAATGGGACACCGTGACAGAAACCAGAGCTCACAGAAATGCTGTTTACCTTCCTGCCACAGCAGTACCTATTTATCTACTTGCACTGGTGTGCTTTCGAACTGCAAGGTTGGCAGGAGCTAGGATAGAGCAACTGGAGCTCAACCTGTCACAGGGATTCAAACTGTGGATCTTCTGATTGGCAAGCCCAAGAGGCTCAGTGGTTTAGACCACAGCGCCACCTGCAATCCGCTTGCACTATAACTTCTTGTCCGTTAGAGCAAATGGGGCACCAGCCCCCATCTGCCTGCCTTCTTGCATAAGAACAATTCAGGAGGAGGTAGCACTATTTGCCAGTTTTCTCCTTTTTGGTCCCTTAGTGCTGGCCTTGTAGAATTTGCAGCAAGGGCAGCAACAGAACTAAATCCACCTGTTTCTGCCTGCTGTTGGCTCTGGCGCCACCTACTGCTGGTCTCCCTGCCTTCTGCCCTATCCGTCCCAATGGGACCAGCCAGCGCTTAGAATGGAATAGCTTCTACTCATGCCACAGGACTGCTCCCAGTCAGTGACAGCTGGGATAGCTCAGTTGGTAGAGCACGAGACTCTTAACCTCAGGGTCAACGGTTCAAGCACCAAGTTGGGCAAAAGATCCCTGCATTGCAGAGGGCTGGGTTAGATGACTCTTGCGGTCCCTTCCAGCTCTAAAATTCTATTTTATGATTCTACTGCTGTGCCCACCCAAATCTGCTCTGCAGTTTCCCCGAAACTTGAAGACAAAGCTTTCCCGTTGTTATTGTCATTACAAGACGTGCATCACTTTGGGAGACAGTATTTGTACAAAAAGCTGGATAGAAACTTTAAGAAATAAAATGGGTGTTTTAATAAAAACCCTGCACAAACAGCATCTTGAGGCAATCGCATACCACAATCAGATTACAGTCATACCTTGGTTTTCAAACAGTTTAGTTCTCGAACGTTTTGGCTCCCGAACCCCGCAAACCAGGAAGTGAGCGTTCTGGTTTGCGATCTATTTTTGGAAGTCAAATGGACTTCCAGAATGGATTCCATTCTACTTCTGAGGTACGACTGTAATGCCCCTTTTTGGCAGAGTTTTATCAAAACATATGCGTAAGATGAGAGGAAGTCAAAGTAGGAAATGAATTGAGTGAACTGGCACTGTGGCAAAGCACACATGCTCCACTTCCAGGTTTAATTTTGGAAATTATTGCAGCTCAGGGAGAATTCAGAAAGAGTGGAATGCCCAGCATGGAAAACAAGGAGAGGAGTATTGAGAAAATGGAATAGAGTAAATTGCCTCTGCGCACCACTGTGACATCAGCAGCCAGCGCAACAAACCTCACACTCACCACAGACCTATTTGCATGCAAAGCAACCAACTTGCCACCTGCTCAGAAAATGGGCAAAGATTGCTGGCTGCCTTTAACAGGTTTGCAAGCAAAGATTCGAGAATGACCCTGGACATAACAGAGGTGAGCACAAACAAGGACAGAGATTGTCGGGGTGGGGGGTGGGGCTAGGATCCAGTGGAATCAGTGTCCTTGCATGACAACAAAAAGACAACAAGAGCCAAAAGATAAAAAATTACTATACAGTGGTATCTCAGGTTAAGTACTTAATTCGTTCCAGAGGTCCGTTCTTAACCTGAAACTGTTCTTAACCTGAAGCACCACTTTAGATAATGGGGCCTCCTTGCTGCTGCCGTGCTGCCAGAGCACAATTTCTGTTCTCATCCTGAAGCAAAGTTCTTAACCTGAAGCACTATTTCTGGGTTAGCGGAGTCTGTAACCTGAAGTGTATGTAACCTGAAGCATATGTAACCTGAGGTACCACTGTATTGTGCTCAACACGCACATATGAAAGAATAAATACGTAGAAAAATATGTACGACATATAATGATATATATGTTACAGCTTGCAGTTACAGCTAGTTGGAGGAAGAACTGCCAAAAATGATCCAAGGAAGACTCAAACCTTGTGTTGCTCGAGATGAGAGGATAGAAGACTATCAAGATGCCTTAGCTGCACAGGAGGATGAAAAACAAGGGTCAGTACAAATGCCAGCTGAGGCTTGGACAACTGTTCAAAGCATCCCACGTTTCCCACCTATGCTTTCTTCTGGGCACACCGAGATACAGAACAAAAATATTAATCCATCTTGCTATATATCCGAGCTGACAGTTACCAGACTGAGTCTGATCAGTCAGAACAAAAGGAGGGCAAGAACAGGAAATGCTAATTAAGAGATACATACCCTCTAGAAATTTGTCAGATGAATAACACAAGTATACGTATTTCGCAACCGTGTTGAAACTCGGGAAACCATGAATATAGAGGCATAACAAACTGAGATATGCAAAAGCGAAGGAGATGGGTAGGTCTAACAGTGGGCCTATGCAGCACTGGGAAAGCAGAGATTTTAAAAATAATAAATAGTGCGGTGCAATGGTTAGACCAGTGTTCCTCGAACTTCGGCCTCCAGCTGTTGTTGGACTACAACTCCCATCATCCCTGACCAATGGTCCTGCTAGCTAGGGATGATGGGAGTTGTAGTCCAACAACAGCTGGAGACCTACGTTCGAGAAACACTGTGAGACAAAGACTAAGATCGCTTGGGTTGAAATACCTATTTAGGTGCAAAGACCACTGGGTGAACTTTGGAGTGACTCTCAGCCACTCTAACATACCTTATGGGGGTGTTGAGGAGCTAAATGAAGGGGGGAGGAAATGTCCTGGGTGTTGTTATGTGAAAGAAGGAGGGGATATAAAAATGGGGGGGGGGAGAGTGTAGAGTGAATAGAGAAAATGTAGATAATGTACACTGGGATCCTTTTGAGGGCCTGAGGCATTTCAAGCTGTTAAATTAAACAAGGTGTTTTTATGTTTAGGAAGGAGTAGGGATGGAACAGCACATCTGTAACAGCCTCCATCAATAAGGAGGGGAATGGGGTAACATGGCCAGATGTGGGTGCTTTATAATTTTGACACTCCCTGCAAGTACCTCTTGAGAAGTTTTGATATTCTGTACAGTCGACTTACCCAACTCACCTCCTTAACATCCCTCTTAAATTATGTACAGGATTTGATGGACATACAGAGCTAAAGACTTTGATCCTGTACTTGAGAGTGGATGCCAGGCCTAGACCAGGTAGCTCCTTCAGAAGGAGGAAGCCTCTGTCAAAGAAGAAGAAGAAGATTGGCAAAATAAACTTTTGAACTATGCGGGACAGATTAGATAACTTGAAACCCAAGAAAGAAAGGACTCTGAATTTTTTTTTAAAAGCGGTAAACGTTTATTGCATATTCTGTAAGCTTTGTGTGCAGATTTATACACTGGTATAACTTTTAACAGTCACTTGTATTAAGATGAAAAGGGTTTAAAATCAGATTATTAAGAATATAAGGTTTTATGGACATGCATGAACAAGTATTAAACGATGAAACCAAGAGGGGGAGTGGAGTGAAGTCAAGCAAAATGATGTCTTTAAAATTTACTTATGATGTGTGTGTGTGTGTATTCATGTTATATATTGTTGTCATTCTTTTTTTATTTTTTTATTTCTGGAAAATCAATAAATTGTTGTAAAAACAAACAAACAAACAAACAAACAAACAAACAAACAAACACCTCCCTCTTAAATTCTGTCAAGTTCAGCATCCTGTTTCTAACAGGGGCCAAGCAGATGCCCCAAAGGGAAACTCCAAAGCAAGCTGGACCCGAGAACAACTCAGCAACTCTCTATTCATGATTCCTAGAAGCTGGTATAGTGGTACCTTGGTTCTCAAACTTAATCCGTTCCAGAAGTCTGTTTCAAAACCAAAGTGTTCCAAAACCAAGGCACACTTTCCCATTGAAAGCAATCCAAACCAACCCCTAAAACAGCAATTTAACATGAATTTTACTATCTAACGAGACCATTGATCCATAAAACGAAAGCAATAATCAATGTACTGTACTAGAAAATAAATAAAGACAGTATTGTAGATGATAAAAATTAAAATTACTATTTTTTCTTACCTGCACTGATGGTAGTCATTGTTTGGATGGAGGGCTTTTATCCATTTCTGCAGTCGCACAATGAATCAATCAATCAATCAATCAATCAATCAATCAGTAGCTGAACTGGGTTCCACACAGTCACAAAAACAAATTAACCAAAAAAGCCCTAGAAACGCAAAATAAATAGCAAAAACAAAAGCGCCAAACTTAATTAGTTCTGGAAGTCCGTCTGACTTCCAAAAATTTCAAAAACCAAGGCGCAGCTTCTGATTGGTGCAGGTGCCCCGGAAACAATAGCCAACAGCCACATCAGATGTTTGGCTTCTGAAAAACATTCGAAAACCGGAACACTTACTTCCAGGTTTTTGGTGTTTGAGAACCAAGGCATTTGCGAACCAAGGTATCACTGTACTGGGAGAAATACTGGCTCTGACCCAGCCATCACGGCTAGCAGATGACAGAACCTAGGCTATCACTGTCTAGATAGGGGCATAGCTTGGCCACTAGCCAAAGCTGATGGAAGGCATTCTGCGTCACTGAGTCCACCTGAGCCTCTGGCATCCGTGATGGATCCAGATGTTCCTGCTCCTTTAGGGGGGAGTGTAACCTCAACAAAAGCAGCCCACCTCCCATCTATCAGGTCTAGGGAATCACCTGCTAGAAGTGCCCTACCTTTGTGTGTGGGGGGGGGAATAAAATAAAATGCTTTGTTTGGAACCAGAAGTCTAGCCATCTTAAACCAAACAACACACAAGGAATGAAAGAAAGGAACAGTGGAAAGAAAATAACCAAAGCATCAAAGGAAAGAAGGTCAGCAAAAAGGGGACGGCAACAGCTGTTAAGAAACGGCAGATGACGATGTCAAGACAGAAGCACTGATGGGTGAAGCAGATATGCAAAATTAAAGTGCCTACTGTCTTTGATGTTTAGCGGTGGACACAGGAGAGAGCGCAGAAAGGAGCCACAATTTCAAGTGGCAAAGAGAGGAAAGAAAGGAAGAGGGAAATATCAACCACGGAAAGGTCAGGGATGGGAGGATTTTCCCTCCGTTGTTCCTTTTGATGTTCCTCTAAATTGTTCCACTCTTCCGGAATTCCAGCCGGACTTGGAGGATGTCTAAAATTAGTTCCAGAACTGGAGCGTGTGTGCTTGTCTGCTGGGGCTCTCAGATCCATCCTTTTATCCTCTCTCAACAATGCTGACATGCAGATTTGCAGTGATATAGTATGACAAAAAAAAACTCCCCACCAAACCTAAATTGTGCTTGTTTCTTTATCAAGATTCATTTTGTGTCCAGGCTGAACAATGGGGGTGGAGACGCTCTTTCAGGTATACTGGGCCAAGGCCATTTAGGGCTTTATAGATCATAACCAGCATTGATACGCAGCCATACGTACTCAATCAAAAATGCTGCCCAGTTGATCAATACAATATGGGCCAATGGTGTGGTTCCATATAAAGCAGCTTCCTATGTAGATCCTCCAAGCCTAAAATCTGCTTAGATGATGCTGAGATGGATGGACCACCGATTTAAGTTGAGATAACAGCAGCATCCTAAGTTTCTAGGTTCCATTCAGATAGCATAGCTAATAGTCCTTGTTAGAACTGCGCTCTCTCTCTCTCTCTCACCCCATGTGACTTTGTTTAATCTTTTAGGTAAGGAAGCATCACTGAGAAAAACCTGGTAGCGGATACATGAACAAGGAGATGTTCCAAGCACCAGGAGGATGCAATATCACATGCTGAGAGTGGGCTGGGATGTTGTTCTCACAAGCTCAAGCCTTGCTGCCTGCAGGTCGTTTGTTACATCTTGACCTTTGCAAAACACTGGAGGCGCATAAAAACCAGAACATCCAAGCAGAAGGGCTGTGTCAGTGCAGAGGCAGTTGTGCCAAAAGCACAGGAGGAGGGTTCAGTCTTTCTGGAAGGAGGGGAAGCATTACAAACTCTGCGCTGAGGCGGAAGGACCCTAGATTTCAAAGGGTCAAGCTATGTGACACACAAGGGGAGGCAAACCTGTGGTCTGTGGGGCAGATAAGACCCACCAAGCTACCTGAAGCAGCCCAACGGACCCCGGCAATATCCATACATTGCAAAGGTGTCTCGTCTTGCATGGCACCATTGCCAGTGCTCTGGAAACATTTCTTGGTGCAAATTGTGCCACTATGTTTCTTTTTTTACTTTTTAATTGCTTACAGCTGCATAGGTGTTGCTATCAGCACTGCAGTGCATTCGGAGGGTTCCTTCTCCAGCTGTTGGACACCCCCCCACCAGCTTTGAGATTTGGGGGGGGGGGACACAGTGCCCACTGCCATCAAAGGAAACTTTGGTCCTAAACCCAGTGCCTAAGCCATGTTGGAGGGTGGGATTGTTTTTTAATTTTGTGGGGAGGAGGTGGGGGTCATGGATAGGAAGCGATACCCCTCCCACTCCTTGCATTTGCAAACTCCACAAAAATTGGTCCGCGACACGACTGCAAATAATAAAAAAGGTGGATGTTGTGCATTAAGCATAACACATAGTTTGACGCTTAGCGCTGTGGGTTAAACCACAGAGCCTAGGACTTGCCGATCAAAAGGTTGGCGGTTTGAATCCCTGCGATGATGTGAGCTCCCGTTGCTCGGTCCCAGCTCCTGCCAACCTAGCAGTTCAAAAGCACATCAAAGTGCAAGTAGATAAATAGGTACTGCTCCGGCGGCAAGGTAAACGGCGTTTCCGTGCGCTGCTCTGGTTCGCCAGAAGCGGCTTAGTCATGCTGGCCACATGACCTGGAAGCTGTACGCCGGCTCCCTCAGCCAATATAGTGAGATGAGCGCCACAACCCCAGAGTTGGCCATGACTGGACCTAATGGTCAGGTGTCCCTTTAACTTTACCTTTACTTAGTACCTTTTTTAAAAATAAAAAAAAATCTAAGACAAGTAAGAATCCCACACAAGGAAAATCTTGGGAAAACCACACTAAAATGAATGCAGTATTTTAAATCTGACTAATACCACCCCTGCTTTGCAAAAATCTGCCATGGCTACTTCTGACAAAGCGGATTATTTTTGCTCAAAGAAGTTCATACAGCAATATATTGGAGAATCTTTTTCAAGGTGGGGTGGGACTCTTTTGTCATTGTTGCCTAGCCCAGGATCTTTTTGCTGGAGATCCATTTCCCTGGGAGTCCCTTTCTTCTTGTAGCGACACCTGCTTTTGGGAGGCGGGGGCAGGCTGTGCAAACAGCAGTCGCCACCGTCTGACTCTCGATGGTCCATCTGCAGTTTCCAGGTCACTAACTCCCGCCCTGAAAGAGCCTCATGTATTTTAAATGTGCAGATTGGATGGGTGACTCATCCCTTCATCACCCCGCCATTCGCATTCTCGCCCGCTTTCCCCCTAATTTGTGAAGACAGGCTGTCAAGACCAGTGGGATGTGGCGAGGTTTGTGGGAAGCCCAAGGGGAGAGCTTTGCAAATGGGTTCTAAGTGGTCCTCAGCTCTGGCCCAATTATTAAAAGCAGGGAAGACACGGAATGTGGTTGCAAGGTTGCCAACTGGCGCCAGACAATTGCCATCATAGCAGGCCGGTCCTTCATCAACTGCTACTTTGTTCCCAATCTGTTTGGAGAAGGGCTGGGGAACCTTTTTATCCTCTCAACCAGAGAGGTGCATTACCTTTAAGGCAACTATCTGGGGGCTACCTGCCAACAGAGGGTGGGCAGAAGGCAAACAATGGGGGTAACAGAGGCAAATGTTACTCTGCCCCGAAGGCTGATGGTAAGCTCAAGGACACATTCCAGCCAGGCGAACACTTCAAGGGAACGAAACAGGGCAAACTGGGGAGGGCTCTGAGGATGAGATAGAGAGGGCTGTGGGGAGACTTTTAACCCTGGGGAAAGAAATTGTACCCCCCTCTGGTTTAGAGCCTCATTTTTCAAAAACAACAACAACAGAACACTAGCCTTAAGGTGGCCACTTACGCATAGTCACACAGATTTTGTAATATTTGCATGTGCTGATTTTACAGAACTGTAGAGTTCGAAAGGGACTACAGTGGTACCTTGGGTTACAGGTGCTTCAGGTTACCAGATGCTTCAGGTTACAGACTCCGCTAACCTAGAAATAGTACCTTGGGTTAAGAACTTTACTTCAGGATGAGAACAGAAATCACACAGCAGCGGTGCGGCGGCAGCGGGAGGCCCCATTAGCTAAAGTGGTGCTTCAGGTTAAGAATGGTTTCATTTTAAGAACGGACCTCCAGAACGAATTAAGTTCTTAACCCGAGGTACCACTGTATGAGAGTCATCTAGTCCAACCCCCTGCAATGCAGGAAACTTCTTGCCCAAAGTGGGGCTTGAACCAACAGCTGTGAGATTAAGAGTCTCATGCTCTACAAATTGGTGACTTCATGAGAGGGAGGTTTTCTTTCCCCTCTTTGCATCCTTTTTCTTTAAACTGGACTCAAACCCTCCAGTCTTCAAGGAGAAGTCTGAGCACCTGGTACTGGGGGTTCTTGTGTCAACACACCAAACACACCAATGGAAAATGAGTATATGAATTACAGTTGAATCTATGTGTTGAACGAGACCTGCTAAGCTATGTATTTGCCTACACTGGTTCTCAAAATAGTCAATAAACACTGTCCATTCCTCCTTGTTTTCTATTATCCTGTTCTTCAGACCAGCCAGTTCAGCATATCTGAACAATTTACGGAGCCATTCTTCCTTAGTGGGTGCAACACTTGTTCTCCACTTTTGTGCCAATAAGGTTCTAGCTGCAGCGGTGGCATATAGTAGTAAACTCTTCTGTTTACTTTGGACCAGATGCCTGTGGGAAACCTGCAAGCAGGACCTGAGCATAGCTGTCAACTTTTCCATTTTCTTGCAAGGAATCCTATTTGGAATAAGGGAATTTCCCTTAAAAAGGGGGAAACATTGGCAGCTATGGACCTGAGTGCAATAGCTCTCTCCTTTCCTGCATTTTCTGACAACTGGTATTCAAACTGCAGAGGAGGGCACAGCCATTGGCGTTAGTAGCCACCCATAGCCCTCTGCCCCATGAAATAAAATTAAAGGAGAGGGCAAATCAGTGAGGGCATCCTGCCTCTCTCTCTTTGGGAGATTCCTGGGGACCAGCCTGAAAATATTCACAGGAAATCCAGATACCTGGATAGCTCAGTTGGTTAGAGCATGGCGCTGATAATGACAAGGTTACAGGTTTGATCCCCATTTGGGACAGCTGCATATACATTCTTGCATTGCAGAGGGTTGGACTAGATGATGATCAAGGTCCCTTCCAACTCTACAATTCTAGGAAACCACCCTGGACTTCTGAAATGCCTTATCCCCGAGAAGTCACATACAGAAAAGAGCAAGTGGCTCACAGAGGCAGAGCCAAACGAGGAGAAAATGAGCGTGGCTGATCGGCCCATGCATTAGTAATGCCAACAGCCTCCCACGGCGTGGCCATTTCGACGGCACCACATGGAGAGGCGAAGGAGTGCGCCGCTGGCGGAGACCCCAGCCTCCTCCTCCTCCTCCTCCAGCGACAGCTGAAAGGGGCAGCGAAGGCCCAGCCCGTCAGGAATCAATGCCACTTCAAATTCATCTTCCATCACAGCGAACCTCCACAGCGCTCAAGGCAAAGGGGTTATTAATGGGCTGTGTCAACTGGTATGAACAATAGCGGGCGTCCCAAGAGTGCGCCTCTTCCCTTCCCTTTCGTCTCCTGCTCCTTAGATGGCGGCTGACTGAAGTCGTCTGCGCAGCTGATACCTGTGATCAGCGGCCCCTCTCTCTTCCAAATGCATCACACGAGGCGATTAAAGAGCATGCAGAGAGCTCGGGCAACGTAATAATAAAAAAAATGGTAACAAGCGATTTGACGCGGAGACGAGAAGGCAACCCGCCAGGGATACTTGGAGGTGGCGGCGTTTGCGGGATTCGGGGAAACTGGCCAAGCCCATTGCAAGGTGGGCTCTTTGCTCCTCTGAGGTTTGGGAAAGGCTCCTAATGGGTCCAGCGCAAGCCCCCTTGCTACATACTCAAGTATGTAGGAGTTCCAGAGGTTGCAGCCTCTGATATGCTTCTCATCCACAGCTCAGTGGCAGTGGGTCTGTTTTGCTCGAAAGAGGTATCAGTGGCACCCGTCCTGTGGAACGCCCTCTCACCAGATGTCAAAGAGAACAACAACTACCAGACTTTTAGAAGACGTCTGACGGCAGCCCTGTTTAGGGAAGCTTTTAATGTTTGATGCATTACTCTATTTTAATATTTTGTTGGAAGCTGCCCAGAGTGGCTGGGGAAGACCAGCCAGATGGGCGGGGTATAAATAAATTATTATTATTATTATTATTAGGTTCAATCTCTGGTACCTCAGTGGGAAAGGATGCCCATTCTAAACCCTGGAAAAAAATCTACTGCCTATCAGTGAAGACCAGGCGTGGGGAAACCTTTCTAAATGACACAATTCCCAGCCGGCGTGCAACGCAGGGTCAGAGGGTTGTGTAGCCTGGGAAGAGTCCTGAGGACCAGACAGGGAGGCCTGGGGGCCACACTCAACCCCAAGACCTGAGGTGCCCTATTATCAGCCAGGATAGCTCAGTTGGTTAGATTAGAGCATGGTGCTGATAACTAATTATTGATGGGAAAGTTAACAGAAAGGGTACGTGAAAGACAACAACGTGAGAAACTGCATAACTTTTACACAACGTGGTCCTCCTTTATTACATGTGCATCAAAGAAAGAACATGCATTTAAACCACCTAAGACACATGGGAGCATGTGGAATGATTATTTTTTAAACCAGCAACTGTAGAAATAATTTTTGATTTGATTGTATTACTAATGTAATTACCGGGACGTAGTTGGGACTGTTTTTTTGGGGGGGGGGAGTAGGGGAAAACTGTATTTCATTGCTTGTATT